GACAATAAACATAAGTTTAAATTTCAGGATGGACTCTGGACTACCTAGTCTCCATGTGACTCCACCACTGTATTGGAGTATTCATAATAAATTTAATTTACATTTGAAATATTCCGAAAGATGCTATGATATCGCTGCAATGTAGCCTACGACGATAAAACCCTAACATAAGTTTGCATCAAGTGAATACGAAATTAAGAGTTGAGAGAAGTATTATAGGGCGAATGAGTTTGATTAAGTTATGAGATCACTTAGCTGTATGTAACTAAAAAAGAGGTTTTTAGGGTCATAGGAAGAAAGCCAACGTCTCAACGAGTTCGTGGCAAATTACGAAAGATAAATTCAAAGTAGAATAAATAAAATTGTCTTTTGGAACAATTTTTAACAACTTTAAAATTATAAATGAGGTTTAAGGGATCTAGGGACGATGCTAACATCATAACGAGTTTGTAGCAACTTCTAAAATGTTTTTCTGGCATATAGTGTATTTATTATGAATATTCTAAGGTAAAAGGAAATGACATGATCCCCCATAAATGGTTCAAAAGGTCGTGCGACTTGACACATGTGTCATCAACAAAATATTTAAGAAGTTGCTACGAACTTGTTGCGACATTGGCGTCCCTTACATCCTTAAAACTTCAGTTTTGAATTTTAAAGATGTTAAAAATCGTTCCTAAAAACGATTTTAATTGATTATAATTTGAATCTATATCAGAATTCATAATAAATTCATTTTACTTCCCAAAATTACTTCGAAAGTTGCCCTGAGCTCGTTGTGATATTGGCGTCGTCTATGTCTCCATAACTTCATTTCTAGTTTGGAAAAAGAAAAAAATTAGTCTTATAAACTTGAATTTAGTTACATACGACTAAGTGGTTTCGTAACTTTACTAAATTCGCGCTTACTCCTTAACATTTCTCTCGTCTCTTGAGTTCAAATTCACTTCATTACAACTTAGCTAAGGATTTTATTTCACAAGGAACATCGCAATGAGTTCGTAGCATATTTCAATATATTATTCCGACGTAAAATGAAACTTTTATGAATATTTCAAGATAAGTTCAAATTAAATCATGATTAGAGGACGTCTTTTAACAATTTGGAAAATCAAAGGTGAGATATAGGGATGTAGGGATGAGTACAACGTCTCAACAAGTGCGTTGCATTTTACAAAATATTTTTCCAACGTGTAATAAATTTTTTATTAATATTCTCAATTTAAGTCATAAGAAAAATAGTAAAAAAATTAAAAGAAATAACACGTGGCAACACGTGAGTAGCCCTGAGTTTATCCCGCCCCTATTTTTCTTATTCACGTGCTGCCGTGTGTCATTCTTTTTAGGTTTTTTTGAAGAAAACTTGAATCAAAAGTTTTCGGTACTGTTTATTTTAACACCAAATTACAGTTTTACACTAAAAAGTCAATCCTGGTACTTTTCATTAGTTTTTTTATTTTTTTTATTTTTTATAACTATTTTTCTTCTGATTTAATTTAAGAATATTACTAAAAAAATTCATTATACTTCAAAAAAAATGCTACGCACTAGTTGAACATTGTCTTCGTCTGAACATCCCTAAAACCTAACTTTTGATTTTAAAAAGGGGTGTGCTATCCACACACCCTCTTTTACTTCTCACGCACCATTTGTTAATTTCTGTCTGTTGATCTTCTTTAATTCATTCGATTCGACGGCCGAAAATTAGAATATGTGTGAGAAGTAAAAAAGGGTGTGTGGATATCACACTCCTTTAAAAATTGTTAAAAAAAAGTTCTCTCAACATAAATTTTAATTAAAATTACCTTTAAAAATTCATAAAAAATCAATTTACTTCAAAAAAATATTATCAATGATGCTACAAACAAGTCGGGATATTGGCATTGTCCATACAACTTTAAAGGACAAGGATTGTCTGCCCTCCCACTTCCAGTGCCCTCCCGTGCTCTCCTATTTTGTGTGGTCACAGTTAATTCACGTCAACATTTTATATTATTTTTTTTTATAGAGATAATAAGACAAAAATGAATAGTAATATAAAATGTTAACGTGACTTAACCGTGACCATACAAACAGGAGGGCACGGGAGGGCAAACAATCCTTGTCCAACTTTAAAACCTCATTTTCATTTAAGAAAAAAAAAAAAACACACTAGTTGTCGGAACTTGAATTACTTGATGTAAAAACTTATCTTAGGACATTATTTGCATAGGAAACGTCGCAACGAATTCGTAGCACCTTTCAAAATATTTTTTTGACTTCAAATTAATTTTTTGTGAATTTTTAAAGATAAATTTAAATCATGTTTCACATGTTTATTAATGGTTCAACTCTTCTCTGGGCACTCACAATTAGTTTATACCTAGACTTTTAGATTAGATTTTAATTTACTCACAATTTTTCCATATCACTTACTGTTTATAGGCTTATAGCTTAATCACCTCCAAGTATCGGCCAACACGCCATAAACTTGAGCAACTTCTACTCACAAGAATATATGATTCTAGACTACTCCACAGAACGAATAGGAAAAGGGATTCTGGACCACTTAACGTAATCCAATAATGATAGGCTTCTAGACCACTCAACGAAACCTAATAGGGAAAGGGATTCCGGATCACTCAATGGAATCCATTCCTAGAATGCATATAGTCATCCAGTGTGAATTAACCAAGCAGAACTATAGGCAACCGTCCTATAGCGTGGTCCCCCAATGTGAATTTGCAAGGTAGGACCACCTATGGATTATAATGTAACCAATTAGGCAATGACCCCCTGATGTGGATTAACCAGACAGAGTTACCCCTAGTATGCGTATGGTCCTCTAACGCGGATTATCTACGCATGAGTATAGGCAAGCATCTAGCAGTGTGGTCCCTCAATGCGGTTTAACCAGGCGGGACTACCCATCAAAGTAATGTAATCAAGTAGACTGTAACCCCTTAATGTGGATTAACTAGGCAGAGTCACCCTTAGAGTGCGTATGGTCCCCCAATGCGGATTAACTAGGTAAGACCATAAGCAAACCTCCAATAGTGAGGTTCTCCAATCGAATTAACTAGGCGAAACCGCCTATGGAGATGATGTACAAGGTAAGCAGTGACCTTAATGCAAATTAATCATGCGAAATCACTCATAAAATGTGTATGGTTTTCTAATGTGGATTAACAAGGCGAGACCATTCATGTACCACATTGCTTATGGTGTACTCACACCATCACACATCATAGCTCATACATCAATTCAACATGAATTAAAATGTAATTACACACATTATCGATTCCACATGATCAACAAATATCTAATCACACAGATGTATAAGTTATGCGCAGTAATTCTAATATGTTCCCTGACTTATCACTTCATACTTGTAGGCTCATAACTGTCCATTATCATTGATGTTATCTAGAATCGAGTGATCACGGGCCGTGAATCATCCAAAAACTGACGGCCTGAACAAACGGGACAAATTTTGATTGGTTCATGTTCAAAACCAAGAGATGGGTTGAATGGGAGCAGTGGCCGAAGTCAGCATCGCCTGAACTCGATGGAAACAATGTTAAAGTTTTTGCAGGGAGCCAGGTCAAATTGCCACACTATTTGGGCCGCCGGGTTGACCTGCAAGTTTAGTTTTCCACAAATGGGAAGGTTCCTCCCAGTTTATTGGCATTCCTTAAATAGAAAGTCTAAATGACCAAAATGTCTCTGCCAATGCCTGTTAATTTCTTCTTCATTATAGCTCCTATTCGTGAAGTTTTGACCTACGTGTTCATAAGATCAAACTCTGAAAAAAAAAAAAAAAATTAAAAAACTAAGAGTGACCTCAAGAGGTTTACGAATTTTCAATGACTAATTAAGGAAAATCAACTTTGTAACTAAGTAACTAAAACACTAAAATTGCCTAAAATAAAATAAGTTTGTGTAAATACAAAATACATAAAATCAAGCAGTGAAATTCGGAAATGAGATTTCACACTTGCCAAACGAGTGCTAAGTTTTACAAGATAAAGTGAGATTGTCTTTTGAGACTTAGACAACATCATCGAAAATAAACCTCTTTTTATTTTTATTTTTTTTATTTACCAAGAACTAAAACCAGATAATGAAAAAGAAAGCAAAAAAAGTAGAGGAGAGTCAAATCTCCTCCATCATATGCCCTTTTCCTCCACTTTAATCATTAACCATGATTTTCTGCATATTCAGGCAACAAAAAAAGGAAAATTAAATAAAAATGAATAATCTATTATTTTCTGGCTTATGGAGTAAGTACACTTGTAGATACATACACCACAACTATCGCAACCCTCCACATGTAATTCCACTCGAATCCATAGCCTTATTAGTGAGAGCAACTCCACTCCAAAACACTCTAGCCCACTCTGGAAATTGGGCATAAGGTGAATCCAATAGAGAAGTCAGGTAATAATTTACTGGCTCAATGCCTGGGCATGTCACGCAAGGCTAATTTTATCATTACGTTAGCCATAATTTAAATTATTGAAATATCATAAAAATTATTAAAAAGTATAAAAAATTAAATAAAAATATAAAGAATTATAATTTCTTTTCAATAAATACTTAATCATGTTTTTCCACTTTACATTACATTTTAATATTTTCATCTAATCTGTTATTATTACCAGAAATTAAAAATAAAATTATCTTTTATTATTTTATAAAATAAAAAAATACTAATATTTTAATACAAAATTGGCTATTCAGTTTAGAATGCAGTTCATTTAAAGAGATTGAGTTATCTATTGCCATTCTCGTAATTTCATCCAAAAAGCAAGGGCAATGTCAATGATGACGTAATCACGACAGCAACCGGCACTACTTTATTTGTTCAACCCAATAAAAATTACATACTCAAACTGTCACGACAAAACCAAGAAAAAAAAAAAAAAACCTTAAAAGAAAACGAAAAATACGAAAGGCCGTGACGGAGCTACCGTGACAGGGCTGTGACTGACAGCCAAGCTCCTCTGCCTCTGTATTGTGGCGCACTTTTAGCGCACTCCGACACAACTACGCAGAGAATTTCGCAGCAACAAGAAGAGCAGTGAAGCAGCAGCTGAAGCACTGAACACGACAGACCTCACCTCCCCACACCAAACGACACCGTATTCGAACTCATCGTTCTCTCGCATTCTCTTCGTCTCCTCTCTTTCTTTGCAACTCTTCAAATTTCACCATTTTTCAGCAGCTCACAGAAACTGACGTGATAGCAACAATGGAGGCTTTCTACAGGCTCGAAGCTTGTGGAATAGTGTAGCTTTTTACTCCCTTTCGGAAGGCCTTCAGCTTCCTCCCCTTTCTGTCTCTTCACTCTATCTGTTATAGATGGCTGGCCGGAGATTGAGACTCAATGCATGGAACTTGGATCCAGAGAGGAAGAGGACCGGCGGACTGAGGACGATGCAGGCGGGGAGAGGATCATGCCGTGGAAGTTAGGCGCCGCCGGGAAATGCACACTCTTCGGGACTGATTTATTTGTCATTTGAATCGGCTGTCAATTTGTCTACTCTGTTCTGTTCGATTAGTGCTTTGAATATTCTGAATTTTTGGAGCCACGGAGAGGCGGTAGCCATGGGGTTTTTGCTTAAGGAAGTGCTCAAGAGGCTGTGCGGCGCCAATCAGTGGGCTTACGCTGTCTTCTGGAAGATCGGCTGCCAGAACCCTAAGTAAGTTTCCCAATAAACTGGAGCAAACGCACAGAATGCTGGTAATTTTTGGTTTTCCAATTACTCAGTTCTTTAATTTTTTGAAAAATATGGTCAGTCGTCTGTTTGGTTGCTGAGAAAGTGGAGGAATAGTGTGACTAGTTAGTTTTAGGTTTTGGGGAGATTTGAGATTTTATTGTTACTGTTTTGTTTCCTGCATTTTCTGAGTAGCCAAACAGAGTGGATCTGGTATCAGGATTGGATTATATTGTCCGTTTCCGTTTGGTTTGAATGAGTAGGGTTTGGGAGGACATAATATATAATCTAAGATACGATGGAGATGTAACAGTGTAATGTGTCTATTGTGTTTAGATTCGCGTGATCTGAGCTAAAGTCTTTATTTCTGTTTTTGGAAGTTTATGTTTTGGTTTGTTCTGTTTTGTCTTTGAGAATCTAATGAGTGAAAAAGTGAGTTGCATTTAGCTTGCCAAACCTGCCCTTTAGTGGACGCATTTAGTCCTCGTTTGTTTATACTCCGATACAAGTGATAGTCTGCTTTAAATTAATCTAAACTACCGGGAAGAGGATTCGAACTTGGGTGCGGAGGGTTAAATCTGCTGATGAGTTGCTCTAAGAAAGTGCACTTGATATTAGATATGTTTTGAAACTTAGATACATTATTACAGACGTTAAAACTACTCCCAGGTACCAACTGAATTGAATTTTGTTTTTTATCTCTTAAATCTTTTATGCGATCATGTGTCATGTCATCTTTAGATGCTTTGATGTCTGCTCTCTTGGGAATTATATGTTTCTAATGAACTTGGTGGCAGACTATTAATTTGGGAAGAATGTCATTACGAATCATCACTATCTTCTCTACCTAAACGCAATGCTGGAACTGAAAGAGCTGAATTACCATTTGGAGAGTGGGAGGGATGCTGGGTTTCTTCTAAAGTGTGCTCCTCTTCTAGTGGGATTCAACAAGAGGAAAGAGTGTCCTCACTTATTAACACAATGATGATGGATAAACCGTGTAACATAGTGGGTGAAGGGTATGACTTTTCTGTTCCCTGTGCTTGTTGCTTTTCTTGTTAGCTGTAAACAACCATTTGAAAAACTGTTCTTTTGGTTATTTCAGGATGGTTGGACGAGCTGCATTTACGGGGAATCATCAATGGATTTTATCAGGCAATTACAGAAAGGATGCCCATCCACCAGAGGTATATATTGGTATTTCTAATTACCTCATTTTTATATGAAATTATTTTTTCTTTTTGCGGATGGAAGTATAATAAATTTCAACCACACATGAACGTACATGCCCCTTCTTAGACTGGATACCCCAATCAGGATGTGACATGGCTGCTCGACCACTTCTCACATTTCTCATTTATGGGATCTCATATATCACACACACATGTATATATACTATGAATATAAGTATATAAAATATATATATATATATATATTTTATCTACCATATGAAATCACATTTCTGTGTGTATTTTCATTTTAAATATACTGTCATGAAAATCCATGGTTACCAATTACCATCGAATCAAAATCCAATGTTTAATGAAAAATTTGATCTTTTTTAGAAAGAAAAGTAATTTCTCTGAATCTTTAAAGTTTCACAGGGGTAGATTTCGCAGTGAGTGGAATATGCGTTCTTGTATATCAGTATTTCTACTTGTCCCCATTAGTGCCGTTTTTGCTTGAAAAGTTTAATGAAATTTTTTGGGAAAAGGTCAGGACCCAGGTAGTAAGCACGCGTATCTACTTGCTCAAGATCTGTTCTTCAGTGCGTCTATCTTAGCTAAACATGTATATGTTGGCTATTCTCTTTTTGACAGAGTACAATAACAACAACCAAGCCTTATCCCACTGAGTGGGGTTGGTTGCATAAATCCTGGAATGCCATTGCGCTTGGTTTTGTGTCAAGTCTTCCGTTAGCTCGAAGTTCTCCATATCTATTCTTGTAGTCTATTTCAAAGTCTTTGTAGCTCTTCCTCTACCCTTTTGCATTGACCAAAGCATCTGTAGGTTTTCAATTCTCGTGTCCAAACCATCTTAAACGATTTTCTCTCATCTCACCTTCAATTGCGACCACTCCTACTTGACCTCGAAAATCCTCGTTCTTAATCCTATCATTTCTTGTGTGCTCACACCTCCAACGAAGCATTTTCATTTCGTTACTCATTTTTTGCATGGTTGCCTTCTGACCGCCCAACATTCGGTGCCATAAAGGATCACTGGCCTTATTGCCATCCCATAAAATTTTCCTTTGAGCTTTAGTGGCATACGACTGGTTGCACAACACACATGATGCGCTCTTCCACTTCTTCGTTCCAACTTGGATTCTATGGTTGAGGTCTCCATCTAATTCCCCATTATTTTGCAAGATATATCCAAGATAACGAAAATGTTCACGCTTTGGTACTTCCTGATCCCCGATTCTCACCCCTATCTCATTTGGGACCCCATTCCCACTGAACTTGCACTGCATATACTCTATCTTTGACCTACTTAGGCGAAAACCTTTAGCTTCCAACACATCCTGCCAAAGGTTAAGCTTCACATTTTCTCCCTCTTGTGTTTCATCTATCAGCATTATAACATCTGCACAAAGCATACATCAAGTGATACCATCTTGAATATGTCTTGTTAACTCGTCCATTATTAATGGATAAAGGTAAGGACTAAAGACTTGAAGTTGAGCTTTAGTGTAACCCTGTGGCTATTAGAAAGCTTTCAGTTTGTGCTTCATGAGTTATTACAATAGTCCTTGCTCCATCACACATATCCCTTATTGTTTGGATATATGCTACTCGTATTCCTTTCTTCACTAGTATTCTCAAAAGAATTTCTCAGGGGACTGGTGTTTGAAAAAACTCGCCTCAGGGCGCACCTAGGCAGCCTTGGAGGATGGGCGGCTGGGTTTTCACCTTTATTTTGTGGGGGTGGGTGTAGGGTGGCGTTGGGGTGCGCCCAGGCGTTCAACCTGGGCCTTTTTTTCCTTCTAAATCCATGTATGTTTCTAAAATGCAGGAGACTTGTAGTTTTAACGAAGAAGAAATAGAAAGTTTCTCTCTCCAATCCTACGTGACTGAAGTCTAACTCTAACTGTTTTCTATTTTTTTAATTTTTTTTACATTGTTGCCCATTCAGATTCCGCCACCGAGCATTTTAATTAGCAAAGTTTTATTTCTCTTCCAATTCCTCATAACTACTCCAGTCAACCTTTATTTTCCTTTAAATTCTGTATAATAATGGCTCCACTAAGCCTTTATATCCTTTTAAAGTCCCTATGATTGCTCCACCTAGTCTTTATTTCATTTTAAATTCCCTATAATTGCGCCACTCAACCTTTATTTCCTTTTGAATTTCCCTATAATTGTGACATTCAACCTTAATTTTCCTTGAAATTCCCTATAATTGTGGTCACTCACCCTGGTTTCTCTTGAAGTTCTCTATAATTGCTTACAATAAAATAAATAATTATAACATTTTAAGACTTTTTGACATAGTTTCTAAGTACAACTAGACTTAGTAATGAAGAAGATGATATTATCTTTGATTTAGTTATAATTATATTTAGTGTTATATTTTATAAATATAATTATATATATAATATATATTAAAATTTTACATACCATGAAACTTTGCCTCACGCCTAGGCGGGGCTATCTATGAGACGCCTCGCCTACGCCTTATACATTGCTTGGGACCTTATCATATGATTTTCCAAATCAGTAAAAACTTCGCCTGTGTAAGTTTATCTTACATTGCCGGTCCCAAGCCCGGATAAAGGAGGAGGGGGAGGGCGTCAAGTAGTCAACAACCGGCACTCCTATCTTACGTCGAATCCTTGGGATGCAATCATACCAACTCACATGCATCGGATCCCATCTGAACTCCGAAGTTAAGTGTGTTTTGGGCGAGAGTAGTACTAGGATGGGTGACCTCCTGGGAAGTCCTCGTGTTGCATCCCCCACAACCGACCCCACATAGTGGGAAAAGGCTTAGAAGAAGAAGAAGAAGAAGGAGGTAAAAACCATGTGCAAATCCTTTTTTCGTATCTCTCTGTCGTTCCATCGATCTTCGTAAGAGATAGATTGCTTCTATTGTCGAGTGCCCTGGCATAAACCCAAATTGATTCTCTAAGACTTGTGTCTCTTGCCTTAATCTATGCTCAATTACCCTCGCCCAGAGCTTCATTGTATGGCTCATTAGCTTAAAACCCTTATGGTTCATGTAATTTTGTATGCCGCCCATATTCTTGTAAATAGGCACCAAAGTGCTTTCTCTCCACTCAATGGGCTTCTTTTTCATTTTCAATATCTCATTGAAAAGGTTTGTGAGCCATGCTATGTGGTTCTAACTTGCTATATCTGTCTTTCCCAAAACCTTCCACACTTCAATCGGTGTATTGTTGGGACCCAAACCCACTGCTTTTCTGTACTTCATCTTTTTCAAGGCTACAACCACTTCGTCTTTCCTGATTCGGCAGTACAAGGAGTAATTTCTACACTCTTTTGTGTTACTCAACTCACCCAAAGAAGTACTCATGTTGTGTCCCTCATTGAAGAGATTAAGAAAATAAGCTCTCCATCTGTCTTTAACTGCGTTCTCCATAGCTAGAACATTTCATTCTCATTGTTGATACTCCTTACTTGGTTCAAGTCTCTTGTCTTCATTTCTCTTGCTCTAGCCAGTTTATAGATATCCAACTCTCCTTATTCTGTATCTAATTGGTTATAAATGTCGTCAAAAGCCACTAGCTTCGCTTCTCTCATGGCGTTCTTTGCTTCCTTCTTCACTATCTTATACCTTTTACAATTTTCATTGGTTCTATCCTTGTATAAGGCTTTACAACATTCCTTCTTAGCCTTAAACTTTTCTTGTACCTCCTTCCACCATCAAGATTCCTTTTGATGTGGAGGAAAACTGTAGAGAGAGTAGCTGTTGATTATACTTGGATGAGTGAAACTAAAGTTTAATGGAAGATAAATGATGTATAGCTATCTATCTAGTTTTCATAAATTTGTCAGAGGCATTTTTGCGCATGACAATTTTGAATTTACATAAGCATTGTTTCATCAAAGGATAAAACTTGTATTCAAGTTTTGGGGTTTGGCATTTGTACTGATATGACTTAATTGTGACTGCTTCAGGTCCTCAATGAGATGCACCACCAATTTTCTTCTGGCATGCAGGTATGCTAGTTCCTGAATAACAGCTGTTTTGCATATTCTATATTTTTCTGTTTCATGACATTACTTGTATTTTTATTTGGTCTGCAGACCGTTGCAGTTATTCCTGTTCTTCCTCACGGTGTTGTTCAACTTGGTTCTTCCACAGCTGTAAGTCCTTGGTTCTATGGCGCCATCAAATTATTCACTAAATATTTGATTCCAGTAGTTTGCATCATATTCACCTGTGCCTGCCGCTAAAATTTTCTTTTCTCAATAAATGACCAAGTTTGTCCAACCATGAGGCAAATTTTGGGTTGGCCATTCTGTTAAATTTTCCACATGGGCACTCAGATTTCGGCGATATATTAACACAAGAAAGCTGCATTTAGTAATATTTGCAAGGCAAGACGATGAAATCTGGATTTTATACTAACCTGTTGAGAAGTGGGTATTTTGTATGGCAGGAAAGCTTGTCATGGGCTTCAGGCCAAATAAATTAATTTATTGACTGGCTGCCATTTTACATGAATGGCTGTTGGTTACACCTTTGTTCTGTTACGAGCAAAAATTGTTCTGATATTAACAAGCCCTACATGTTTATTTATTTTATTTTTACCCCCCTATGAATGACTATTACCACCTATGTTTTCATAAAGTTTGACCATTCTAATAAGGGTTTTTATCGCAAGTAGTCCCTGAAATTGACCTATACCATCAAGATGGTCCATGAAAATGAAAATCTAGTATGAGTGTTGGAAATCAATATGGTCCTTCCGTTAGAATTTCATCAAAATTTCTGTTAGTATGCTAATTTGGCATCCCACAAATATTGCCACATGGATAAATTATTAAAAACTTTATAAAAATTTAATTTAAAATCATTTAAAACTAAGTTCAAAATGATTAAATAAAAAATTAAAACAATTAAAGCTGCTACTTTCACGATGAGGAAGACTCAATTCGTGCAAGGAGAGAGAGAGAGCCAGGGGGAGGCTAGGGGCAGAGGAGTTCGTATGCAATGACCTAGCCGAGGACGTCATCCAAACTTGTCTAAAAAATTCTTCGTTCCTAGGTTGTCTCGTTGTCTCAAAATTGGGATCGGGGGTTGCGATGGGGGACTGGTGGTTGTTGGCTTGGTGTCGGTTGGAGGTTGGGATGAAGGGAAGCGGGTTGAGGTGGGTTGGTGTGGTAACGGTGGGGAGGGAAGGGGTCGACGATTCGACGGTGAGGGGGAAGGATTGACAACATCGATGTCAGGGGTGGGGTGAGGGTGGGGAAGATGGTCGCTTGGGGTGGGAGAGATGGCAAGAGAATTGGCAGATGGTGAGGATTGAGAATTAAAGCTGCACCTAATTGTTTAATTTAATTAGTTGAGGATTAAAGATGCATCTAATTTTTTTTGTTGAATAGCTTTTAATTTTTTAATTTAATCATTTTGAATTTAGTTATAGTGATTTGAAATTAATTTTTATGAAGTTTTTAATAATTTATCCATGTGGCAATATTTAATAGAATTGTGGGGTCCACATATGTGCCAAATCAGCATGCTAACAAAAATTTTGACGGAATTCTAACGAGAGGACCACATTGATTTGCAACAGCATTTTCAAGGACTACATTGACTGATTTTCATTTTCAGGGACCATCTTGATGGTTTGCGTCAATTTCGGGGACTACTTGTGAATTGTGATAAAAACCCTTCTAATAATGCAAGCGGTTGATTAAGCCAAATCAATGTTTGATTTGTGTCTGTTGTCAGTTCCTTCCAACCTGATTAATGTATCCATTCTGATTCAGATGATGGAGGATACAGGCTTCATCAATGATGTGAAGAGTTTAGTCCTGCAACTAGGACGTGTTCCTGGTGCTCTTTTAGCAGAAAACTGTGTGACCAAAGATTTGGTTGAGAAATCTGGGTTACCCTATACTTCTGGAACAGTGGCATCCATGCATCCAGCAGGTAATTTAAAGGTAACAGGATCCTACACGGATGACTGATAACTACACCCATCAAAGTCACTTTACTCGGGCCTCAGGCCTTTCTGGCCAACTATCTCACTCTCTTCTTAAGGATATTCAGAATAATTCTCAAACCACTTCTTCAGCATTTCAAACCCCAAATCTCACCCAAAGTCTGCCCAAAATTCATGATGATCCTCAACAACCAACAGTTTCTCCATCGATGAAGCCAAACTTTTCTTTGGGTGGCCAACTAAAGGATAGAGTTCGGGGAACTGAAGTGATTACCTCGAATTCTGATGCATGGTCGAACCAGCCGACTCCCTCTTACAATTCAGGGGTGGGACTCAAATACCCGTCTTTAGGTCAATCAAGTTCAGATCAGAACAGCCTAAAGTTTATAGAACATATGATCTTGTCTGCTGGTAGCATTAGGCATCATCTTGATAAGAACTTTAGCGCATCAAATGGTATCATGCCTCAATTGGGAACAAGTGGAAGTTTAATCCTTGATCAGAGCAAAGGTTTGACAACAACCGCATTGCTTGGAGGAAGTCAAGTGCATGGTGGATCGAGTAGTTATTCAAGGCCAATTTCTGTTCCTTGCTCTTTTTCAGACCCCCACAGGGTAGCTGACATCAACCTCTCTGGTGGATGTCTGTCTGGTGTTAAATTTCAAAAGGCTGATGCATTCCAAACGGAAGGAGTTTCTTCATCCAGTGTTGCAGGTCAATCATCTGCTAATAACATGCCTTCCAAAGGCTCTGATCACAGACAGTTTTCTGCCGATGTGAAGCTTACCCAGAGTGAATTGGCCCTACAAAGGATAGATGATGAATTGTTTCAAGCACTGAACATTCCATTGGCAGATTCAGATGAACATATCCCCTTGAATGCACACATCCCTGGTATTGTTCCAGGATCTGCAAATGCTACAAATGATGCATATACTCAGGTTTCATCAGGGGATGATTTGTTTGATGTTTTGGGTATGGATTTTAAAAACAAGCTGTTTAATGGCAATTGGAATAATTTGCTTGCTGATGAGACACATTCAGACGCAAGAAACCTAGGCAAGAATACTTCAACATTTACAAATGTGCAGGAGTTGGCTTCAGATTATTATCCAGCAGGTCAAGAAACATCAAATGGTTGCATTTTCTCTGGGGCAGGCACTGAACATCTTTTAGATGCTGTGGTCTCTCGGGCTCAGTCTGCTGTCAAGCAGAACTCTGATGATAATGTGTCTTGGAGAACATCATTGACAAAAATCAGTAGCTCTTCCGTCCCTAATAGTTCTCCCCCGTATGGACGAATTATTATGTCTAATGATGTACATGGGGAGAAACTTGGCCTTCCTAAATCTCTTGTAAAGGAAGGGACGGAAGAAACTAGTTCCCTTCAGTCTGGGTGTAGAAAAGAGGATGCGGGAAACTGTTCACTGACCAACTCTATATATGGATCTCAAATTAGTTCTTGGGTTAAACAGGGTAATAGTGCAAATCATGAGAGCAGTGTTTCAACAGCATATTCTAAGAAGCCTGATATAATAGGAAAATCAAATCGCAAAAGGCTTAAACCTGGAGAGAACCCTAGACCAAGGCCAAAAGATCGTCAGATGATCCAAGATCGTGTGAAGGAGTTGCGTGATATTGTGCCAAATGGGGCAAAAGTAATACCTTGCTTCCTATTCCTTGTTTTTAAATTTTCAATATTCAGATAGTGATGCCATTATTTTGATAACTTTATATGGTTTTACAGTGTAGCATAGATGCACTGCTTGAACGCACCATCAAGCATATGCTGTTCTTGCAAGGTGTCACAAAGCATGCCGACAAGCTAAAACAAACAGGAGAGTCGAAGGTACAATCACTGTCTACTTTTCCCCTTGTTTCCTTTAAAAAGGAATCTGCTTTCATTGTTGAGAGAAATCCAGAGTTAGGGGAGTTGGATTCAGAATATGAGATATTTAAAGACAAGGATATAACAAATACGGGATCCTTTTGAGATGATGTATACCCTTTACTGCCTATGCAGATTATCGGCAAAAAAGATGGACTGGTTCTAAAAGACAACTTTGATGGAGGGGCGACATGGGCTTTTGAGGTTGGGACACAATCAATGGTTTGCCCTATCATCGTTGAGGATCTCAATCCACCCCATCAGATGCTTGTGGAGGTTAGTGACTGGCATTTTATGAAATATCTGAAATTGGAGCTTTGGCTATCAGTGAAGTACATGGAAAAATATGTTTTCTTTCCATTTTATTCTCTCTTTTTTTCAGATGCTCTGTGAAGAACAGGGTTTCTTTTTAGAAATAGCTGATTTAATCAGAGGTATGGGTTTGACCATCCTGAAGGGGGTGATGGAAGCTCGGAATGATAAGATATGGGCGTGCTTTGCAGTAGAGGTAATATTGAAAACAAGAGCCTTTTTTATTTATGATCATCTACAACCATGAAGTCCTTAATTCCCATTCAATCTACAAACCCTATGCACCTTTTTAAACCATTCACCCCATTGTCACAAAATTTCCTATTGATCATACGGGATCCTAATATATGAAATCTAAAGGGATTTCTTAACATCAGCTTCACTTTACACTGAATACTTTCAAATATAAAACTAGAAGTCCAGGACATAATAGACTGTTGGTTCCTTTGCTCCTTCATATGACCGAGATCTTGGATCAAATTCATGATTCATGTCATTTTCTGTAGTCTTGAATTCATTTAATTTAGGTTAAAACTGAATGTTAAATTACTCTGGGTATATCATAGATGTAGCAAAAAGATGCATTGCAAATTAAGTGTCCCCGTCGTCTGGTTTTCTCATAGGAGAGACGATGCTTGTTATATAGCCTGTAAGGCATTCCAGTCATGATATTACTACCAATGTTTTCTTTGATTTTGTGGTACCAACTAGCAACTTCTGAATCTTGTTGCCAATATTTTGCTTGTTCAGAAGGCGCATCCAGTATTACCTTCTCTATGTTGGTCATTTACGTCCAAAGTGTTATATGCAGGCCAATAGGGACGTAACGAGGATGGAAATATTTATGTCACTCGTTCAGCTTTTGGAGCAAACTGTAAAAGGCACCGCGTCATCGGCCAATGCCATGATGAACAATGTGATGGTCCACCACTCAATACCTGCAACTGGTAGGCCTAGTAATTTGCAGTGAGCCGCTAGATATACAGTTTCCGTGTTCATAGGCGCAGTAGATTGTGATGAACCACAGTTGCTATAGCTTGTTGGTCTGGACATGTTCAGAGTGAGCCAAGATTTCGCTTGCCATGACGAACATACATTCTTGACTAGCATCTCTGGTAGCTCTCACCTGGGCCCAGTTTATGTTTCAGAAAGCACGATCCTGGCCGTCCTCACTTTAGCGGGGTGAGATTTGTTAAACTAGTCAGAAACTGCTTTGTAATAGCGTGTTTTCTTTGACGTAGCTAAAAATCTGAATGTTCAACTATATGCCCTACTGAAACATTTCAGCCATGGACACTGGTGGTGTGTGTAGAGGCTACCGATTGGGTATAACTTATGGGATATAGATTTTTCCAAATGTATAGAGGTTGGTAGGGGTGGGGATACTGTAGGGTTTCCGACCTGTTAGTTAAACGAAGACCACCGTTTGATTTCCCGGAGTTTTCAAGGTTTATAGATAACTTACTGTTTGATGTCTAAGAATGTGGTTATTGAATGTTTTTTCATCTGGTCTCGTATTTTGGTTTTCGCTTAATTGAACAGCATGACATTATTTTTGTGTACACAAGTTGTATTGGGTGAGGGAAATTATAGAGAATAACATTAAACTTTAGAGTGACACTAGAAAATTTGCCTGCGCTTTGCTATGGGTTTTAAAACCATTATCCACAACAGACATGATAAATTTCCGTTGAAAGTAACTAAAAAAACGGTGTAGTACCTAAGAACCAATGAAGTGAAACTTTGCTTGCGATGTATGGATCTGCATATTGTAAGAACATGTACAATCAAAAGGGCGGATTTCAAAGACAACGAATAAGATCATTGTCTCATTAATTACCTAACTCAAAAGGTTACATTCATCAGTATGTTGATTCTCTTTGCAGTGATCACCATGGAAAAGAGGATTTTTTTTTGTTTTCAAATGAAGACCACGTCCAACTTTTTACCCAAACGAAATAATATACCAAAAATGAAGTAAAAATGATAGCATGTGTAAAAGAGAGAACATTGAAATAGGGGTGTGCTATCCACACGCCCTGTTTTACTTCTCACACACCCTTGATAATTTATGTCCGTTGATTATCTTTAATTCATCCGATCCGACGGTGGGATGTGTGGATATCATACCCCTTGAAATAAAAGCATACGAATGAAGCCATATAGACTTGTTTGAAACTAAAGATATATACAACTCAAAATAAAACCTCATTAAGCACGAGAACACATAGTTCTAAATTCTTATTTGGATCGTTCCTTCTCGATACAAACAATCTAAAAGCTTTATCTTGTTCCTGACCAGTCAAGTAAAAAAAAATCCACACGGAATGAAAAGAAAAGAAACAATAACTGATAAAACAATCATGGTGAAAAAGAGCAAAGCAATTGCATTACTGTAAATCAAATCTACTACAAACAAAATCCAATCATATATCAAATTGAAAGAGATCAAAACCTTACCTCTCCATGCACGCTTACATGCGTGTGAGAGGTTTTTTTTTTTTTAATCCCTGGCGCTACCCATTTCTAAAGATGATGAATGCATACATTGAAGTGTATACATTTCATACAAACTACACGTAGACATTATTCACTTTTACTTTGCAGATCAGTCACATACCAAGATATCAATTTGTGTTAAATTAGATTAGTACGTCTGGTTTCAATCTAATTAAACTATGTCAATCATATCGCAGGCAGTAGGCATGGATGCAACACAATTGTGTTTCCATGATATTTTACACATAGTACTGTAGCCTATATCCAATTTCCTTAAGAAAAATCCAGTAGTTAAGTATTGATACGTAACTGAAATAACTCAAACTACAGGATCACAATGATTGTTTCCACATAAAATAAATTCAATTGTTAGAAGGTCTTACAATTAGACAAAAGAAAAACAAAATGACAGACCACCACCCTCCAATGCCGACACAAAACATATACAGACAGTACATGATGAACATGAAAATGAAGCTGAAATGAAAGAAAAGTAGAGCCTAAGCTGAAATGGATTCAAGGGAAGATTTTTGCACCAGAAGAACAACATCGTTACCATTCAAATACAAACATATAAGACAAACATTTGTTTTAACTCTTCTTCAAGCCTTGAAATAAATTAAGCAAGCAAACCATTTGCATGGCTAAGAACTCCCACTCTCAAGCCTTTGCTACTACAAAAGAACCGTATATTTCTTCCTAGATGATCAATTGAAACGCTCCAGAGATCAATTAATTCAAATCATAATTAAATTCTAATAGTGGTTTTAAAGAGTATAGGCGTGTTATATATATATATATATATATATAGATGAAAAAACAGATTCAACCTATCATATGTACGGGATGCCAACTTGTTTAGTCATAGATTCAGAACAACAGATAGAAAAAATATTCATAGATCAGATACCTAAATGGTGTTCACGATAATATGTCAAATTTTGCCTTTTTCTGGATAACTCTTTTGCATGTATTGGAATGCAAACTTCACCTAAATAAGGAAAAAAAAAAAAAAAAAAAGAAAAAAAAGGGTGAAGGTTAGAGGTTATAACAGTCATGACATAGTATGCCACTACAGCTGATAAACAAAAAAAAAAAAAATCATTGCCCAATACAGGCGAGGACTGGTAGCGACCATCAGAAAAGCTCTAGTTAAAAGCAATCTATTCCCCAATATGCACCAAAATACAGTTACAATATCCCAGACAATCAGACATATAGGATCTGCTTACAGTGAACTTCGACAAGCTTATTTTGTAGGTGTCCACCAATTCCGTCATTAAATCAACCAAATGAGAGAATATAGGAACTAACATTGGGTGTCAAGAATTTGTACCCGTATTGCGCTGATTCATAACGATGAACTGGAACCGCGGTTGAGAATTCCTTAACGATACAACAGTAATAAGATTAGGTATGTTAAGCAAGCTTGAGAGGTAAGTAAGAGAACAACAATGTCGCACTGGAGGAATCTGAAACAATAACGTATAACCATTCAAGGTGACACATAAAAGCTTAACTTCGTGGATGAAAAAAGTTCAAATGGTGGTTTGATTATGGAATACTGAGAGTGTTGCTTAACTATAGCTGCAGTTGAAGAATGCCAAGTAAAATTGCATACGACAGAGACTAAAACATGAGCCGGCCCACGTTCTCACCCGGACGTTAAGAATTCTCTGTCCAAACAGAGAAACAATCAAAACATACTGATGTGCCAACAAAATGCTACATTAGTAAGAATACTCCACTTAAGACAAAATTTAGAGCTGTAATTGGCATTTAGAAAACTAATTAGTAATATTGTTATTCAAAAACTGAGTCGTATACTATTGAAACTAAGTCGTATACTATTGAAACCAATTATTTCCTTACTACAACCAACACTTCCAATATCAAAAGAGAAAGAAATCACAGTACACAGCGAATTAGCAGAAAAGTGCCACATTACATACCATCATATGACAGTAACTAACTCCTGATATCAACTGCTGGAAGAAAAACTTTGCCTGATGCAAAACAACAATTAAATAAAAAAAGTATGTAAGTTTTAGTTATATTATGACTGTTTATGTAAAAATGCTTCAGACCTAACTTTCCCTATCTCAAACTAAACAAAAATCGAGATGAATTCCATTTCAAGGGACATTCGGAGATCCCATATTTCAGACTTTACACTAAAAACATTTTCGATAAAATTTTCTCTGCCTTTGAAACTACTTTACCTCATCCTCACTAAATCTACCAGCACTGAATATTCTCTCGAAGAGTTCTGCCCCCAGTTACTCCATCACAATGGCTAGATGAGTTAGTGTCAGCAGGACCTGCAAGAAAGAGACCCGCACTACTCTCAAGTCTTAAACACAAACCTCTTTATCCATTATCACAAATGTTCCCGGTGATAGGGAATGTTTGCAACCCAATCTCCTCCCAAACTAGCTCCAGCCCATGTGGGCAATTGGGCTAAGGGGAGCCTATGGGGGAGGGCAAACGGGAGTCCAAGGCCCGAGTGCTTGAGGGAAAGTGATGCAAGGTTGACATCAGCCACGTTATAAAATTTTTTGCATCAGGTGTGTGGGCGCGTCTCGGGCAGATTTTCAGACAATGGGGCCCACGTGTTAGCCCCACTTAGTCACTTTGAATCTGGACCGTTTGATTTCCAGATCAACGGTCCAGTTTTTTTGGTTTTAAATTTTTTAGAAAAAAGAAAAAAATCATTCTAGACTGTTGGATTTCAAATTTTTTGTAATCCAACCGTCCATATTAATTAAGTTATTATTTTTTTTAAAACTAATTAAAAATTCGAATAAATTAAAAAAAAATTATAATTTTTTTATTTTTATTTTTTTTATAAATACCTTACCATTTTGTAAGATCTCACATCACCCAGGGGAGTGATCCTTATATGTATATTCCCATCTCTACCTAACACGAGGCCTTTTGGGAGCTCACTGGCTTCGGGTTCCGTAGGAACTCCGAAGTTAAGCGAGAAGGGAGCTAGAGCAATCCCATGATGGGTGACCCACTGAGAAGTTGCTCGTGAGTTCCAAAAACAAAACCGTGAGGGAATGGTAAGCCCAAAGCGGACAATATCATGCTACGGTGGTGGAGTTGGGCCCGGGAAGTGGTTCCGCCCGGGCGGGGATGTGACAATTTGGTATCAGAGCCTAACCCTGGCCGTGGTGTGCTGACGAGGACGTCGAACCCCTAAGGGGGGTGGATTGTAAGATCCCACATCACCCAGGGGAGTGATCCTTATATGTATATTCCCATCTCTACCTAACACGAGGCCTTTTGGGAGCTCACTGGCTTCGGGTTCTGTAGGAACTCCGAAGTTAAGCGAGAAGGGGGCTAGAGCAATCCCATGATGGGTGACCCACTGGGAAGTTGTTCGTGAGTTCCCAAAAACAAAACCGTGAGGGAATGGTAAGTCCAAAGCGGACAATATCGTGCTACGGTGGTGGAGTTGGGCCTGGGAAGTGGTTCCGCCCAGGCCGGGATGTGACAATTTTCTCCCACATTACACCACATTTCAATATTTTCAGTGATTCTAAAAAGGTAATGACATGTGGTGTGATGAAATTGGATAAAAATCTTATTGAAATCTATCACCAAAAATTGTACTTTTCGGATAATGACACGTGGCATAATAAGATCGGTTAAAAATCCTACCCAAAATTACAAATAAAATTATTTTTTATTATTTTATAAAATAAAAAATACTAATATTTTATTGCTTAGTACCATGGCTATTCAATTTAAAGGTGGAGATGCAAAAGACAATTACTATTTATTAAAAACAGTTACTATTTAGTGAAGGGGATTCAATTGCCAATTGCCATGGAGGACCTTCCTACATTGGAAGTGCTCTTAGAGCAAGTTTAGCAGGGCCTTTAGCCCGATGGACCGTGGATAGAACAGGACCAAATTGCTGGGGCAAGCAAGTTTAGCAGGGCCTTTAGCCCGACACGAATTGTTGGCCCGAGAGCCTAAGGTGGAGATGATGCAACACTGACGTCAGGGCGACGTCAGCCACATTTATGTTTTTATTTTTGCGTTAGGCGAGTGCACTTCAAGTGCGCGTGGGGATGTGTCTTCGACATGTTTTCAGACGTGGGGCATGCGGCGCAGATTCTGAAAGTTTACCGTTGGCTGGGACACGTGGCACCTTCATGTTCGTTGGATTTCAACGGTTACTTTTTGTGGACCGTTGGATTTCCAACGGTTAAAAAAAAAAAATTCAAACTTTCTTTAATTTCAACCGTTGGATTTGAGATCAACGGTCCACGTTATTCACTTTTATAAATTAAAAAAGAAGAAGAAAAAACAGTAAAAAAATATGAAATTTTACCATTGTGCCATGTGGCACAATCTGGAGGGTTGGATTTCAAATTTTTTTTAATCCAACAGCAGAAATTAATTATGTGAATAAAAAATTAATAAAAAAATCCGAATATTTTTATAAAAATTAAAAAAAATGATTTTACTTTTCTATAAATACCTTCTCATTATCTTCTACCTTACACCACAATTTCATATTTTCTCAATTCTTTCAACCATATTCCAATCTTTCTCTCAAAGTTTCAATCCAATTGGTTTCCAACAAAATGACTAATGATGCAGGTACGAATTGGACGCTTATTGAAGATGTTACGTTGTGTTCTACCTGGGTTGAAGTTACTCGTGATCCGATTACGGGTAATGAGATGCAGTTGCGAGAAATGTGGAGTCTTATTCATACCAATTATCTTGAGAAAATTGATGGGAAAAGAACCAAAGAATTGATGTCCAGTCGTTGGGAGAATACTCAGCCAATCGTTTAGTATGTGGAAAGACGCCTTGGCACAAGCTCGTAGTAATCTTCGAAGTGGGGAAAATTTAGCGGATCAGGTAACAATATATTATTTATTTCTTTGTACTATACCCAAATTTACATTAGCTACTTTGATTATAATTATTTCTTCTCCCTCATTGTGTAGACACTTCAAGCACAAGCTTGGTATAATGCCAAAACCAAAAACAAAAATAAATTATTCAACCGGTGGGAATGTTGGAATATTGTCAAAGATTGTCCTAAATTTAGAGTTGTGACTGTCGGTCTAGAAGTTGTCATGAACAACACTCCTCTACACTCTATGGCCGATCATGCCTCGCATATTCATGAAGATGACACAGAAGAAGTGCCAGAAGCGCTCCCTGAACAAGCGTCGGGGTCGACCCGTTATCCAATTAGGCCTCAAGGTAAGAAGGCTTCAAAGAGAAAAAGGAATGCTTCCAAGAATGATTATGCAAAATATATTGAAGAACTTGCTCGCCAAGGTGAATTGACTTTTGTGCGGGAAATGGCTAAATTTGAGGTTGATAAGGCTAGAGAGAAGGCAAAAGCTGCAGCTATTGAGAGATTATTTCAAGCTAATGAGAAAGAAAGAGAACTACTTAGGCAAGAAAGGGAAGAGATTAAAGAAGAAAGAAGGGTTCAACAAGATCGTGACATTATGAAGGAGCCTTTAGAGGGGAAGTCACCGAATTCTAAATATTTTTGGAATTCAGAGAAAGCGGATGTGGTGTGAAGGAGGCGTGCAAGGGAAGCGAAAGCAAGATGAGATGGTCCTAGCACCACAAGAGGAGATGATCCTAGCACCACAAATTGGTTAGGTGATGATTTTCCATTCACGAGGGACTAGGGAATTTGTTTTTAATCGGAGCCCATAATTATCCAATCACTTTAGGTTGTAATTTCTTATTTATTGAATAGAGTACTTTATGTTGTTTCCAATTTATTGAATTTGGTAATTTATTCAATAAATTTGGTAAATTACGTGTCTGGTTCATATTCATCAATGGCATCATAATCGTACTCATCTTCCACAATCATGTTGTGAAGAATGATGCACGTCATCATGATGGATCGAAGCAACTCTAAATCAAACATTCTGGCAGCATCCCTGACAATCACCCAACGAGCTTGGGGGATACCAAAACAACGCTGCACATCTTTCCTACACCTATCTTAACAGCTTGCAAAGTGTTTTTCCTTTGTACTTCACAGACGTGGCACTGTTTTAACAAACGATGACCACCTTGGGTAAATGCCATCTGCTAGGTAGTCTGGCCCGTGGTACTTATGTTCGTTGACTCAGTACGTGACTCTTGGTGTTTTTCCTTGTAGGACATCGTTGAACACTAGGGATTGGGCAAAGACATTGAGGTCATTTTAAGCCCCCGGAACAACGAAAAAAGTGTGCCAAATCCATGTATCAAACTGATGCCACCGCCTCCAAAATGATACTTTTTGCTTTTCTATCCCCATAAGCTCCTTGCCATGCACTTAGACAGTTTTTCCAAGTTCAGTGCATACAGTCAATGCTTCCAATCATCCCAAGAAAACCTTGCATCTCGGCTTTCTTCAGAAGCCTTTGCAAGTCTATCTTAGTAGGTTTCCGAAGGTACTCTGCAGTGTAGAGAGATTCGATTGAATGGTTGATTTCCCCATCCTCGCTATCTTATCCACTTGCTCTGTAGATGCTCCATATGCAAGCATCCGCAAGGTAGCAATAATTTTTTGCTCAAGAAGTAGACCCATAACACCAAAAAAATCCTTCTTTTGCACAAAGTAAGAATCATGGTTGCAAACAGCAATCATGATTTTGTTGAACAAATGTTGTTTCATTCTAGAACGACGTCTAAAGTACGTATCAGGAATGCACTGTTACGGACAAAATAATCGTCCAAGAGATCCGTACCTCGTCGTTGCCTGCTTCTATCAAGGTTTGCTGAACGGCTGAGCCTGTATATCTGAGCCACAGCTTGGATGACTTGATGAGAATGTGAGGCTCTTTGGCTTCTTGCTTTGTCATCTCTCCTTCTATGCTCTTCATCCTCTTCATCTTCCATCTCATTTTGGGCCACCTGGAGATTGAACATTTCTTCCCCTTGCTTAAAAAATTCTTTCTCTTGCTCCTCGATTACCCACAACATCCTTGAAGAAGAAGACATTGTAAGAAGGAAGCAAAAACTATGAATAATGATAGAGATTTTGATTTTGGTGAAGAAGGAAGCAAAAACTATGAATAATGATAGAGATTTTGATTATGGTGTGTGATTTCTGGTTCTGGATGGTGGGTTATATGGAGGAAAAATAAAGGATTAGGTTGTAGATAATGCCACGTGGCATGTCGTCCTTTGTTAAAAATCTGATCAAAATCTATCCTCAAAGATTGTTTTCAGATTGTGACACATGACGCGACGTGATTGGTAAAAATCTTATCAAAAATCTATCCTTAACGATTCTGAAAAGGTAACGACACGTGATTACAAATAAAATTACTTTGTATTATTTTATAAAATAAAAAATACTAATATTTTATTACCTATTGCCATGGCTATTCAGTG